ATGGTAATTGAATCACAAACAACATTCTTTTGTGAAAACATAATGCATGTTAAATTTGTGAAATACTATGTTTCTGTTGACATGTAATGAAGTGAATTTGAAAACATTCTTAAGAACAAAGAATAGATCTATTATTACCTAGGCACATTAGTTGTATCTAATATTCTAATTAAAAGTTAACTAACTCGAAATAAGTATTCTAAAAAAATGAACATAAGTTAATATACATAATCATTTAATTAGGTGTTATAAATTGGAAGATGCTAAATTTTAGTTTAAGCTTAATAATCTATACACTAAATATATTGATTGTGTTTAAGTCCTCGTTGAAAAGTCAATGAGGTTACAAAGTTATGACTATGACAACTCTTAATGCAGTGAAAGGTGAGTAAAAAGGGCCACAAAATTTTGGTTCGCTTAAGGCCCACAAATTGGTTAAGCCTCCCCTGGTACCAATAGGTGGGTAATCATCTAGTGGAGTGCCCTAGGGGTTGTATGTAGTCATGTAGGATAGCCTGAGAACTATTAATCTAGGCTTTCTTGCCTATTCCTTATTTGGTTACATATAACTATGCATTCCTTGCAGATCTGTCAGTAGTGGGGTGGTGTATATGGGGATAAGGAATATACATTACAGCCCTAAGCTTAGGTACTAAACCTCTAAATTGTGCCATTTTAACTTAGTAAATATACTCGATTCAGTTTTCACTTGATAAATATACCGTCCCCCATAACATTTCTTTCGTCCAGTATCGTTTAACCATCCCCATTTTCTTTCCTCCATTATCATTTATTACTTCACTCTTTATGCAACAATGAATAATGAGAAGAAAATATTTTGAAAAAAAATTGTCTTATGAAATCACATAGTGTTTTAGGAAGGATACGATTGTTAGGAAATCACGTTATATTTTTGTCCAATAAAATCCTTAGCTACGACGTAGTTTCATGAGGTTTGGTACCTAAGATTAGGTGAGGTTGTATTGTATATTCATTTTTTCGTGTTGTATGATGTCTGGTATATGATAGTGAGCTGTTAGACATGTAGACTAGTGTAGATAGTTGCTTGTGTTTATGTGTTTAATTGATTGTTTGTCTGTTACATATGTTGACATATTGGGTGGTGGGTTGAGGTGGTCGTACTTTATGTTGTAGGCCAAGATTCTCGAGCGGGCCAACGATGTGCTATAAAACAGGTGTGGATCATTTGTATGCTGAGAGTGAGCGGTATATGTGTACTGTAGGGCTTGCGAGATGGTCCAATCAGACTATAGGATCAGGAGAGCGATCCAGGCGTGTTGTAGGCCTTGTGAGGTAGGCCAGACAGACTGAAGGCTCATGTGTGCGTGCATTGTATGTATATTGTGGTGTGTGGTATTTTGAAAGAACTCACTAAGCTTTGACTTACAATTGTAGATTAAATGTATTCCAGGTACCACTGGTGATCGTGGGAAGGCGAAAATGTGATTGTACACAATCATCAACAGTTATGGAGATTCCACATTATTTATATTACTATGATTTTCAAACAGCTGTAATTTGGAACAAATGAGTTTTCATAAATTGGGTTTTATGTAAATGATGATTTTACCTTATTTAAAAATGAAAATTTTGCTTGTGAAAATGATACGTTACATTAAGAGAGACCATTTTTCCCCAAAATATTTTTTTTATCAACATTTTTTTTAACACTTAATAACAACATTTTTTTTTTCTAAATTATATCTTTGTTTCTTGAATTCTTAGTCTACAGTGGATGAATATTTTTTATAAACATGTGATACCATTAGAATAGAAGTGTTTTGATATAACTTTTGGTATTTCAAGATATAATATTCAAAAAAATTTACATGTTTATTTGTTTGAATATATTTGATTTTGTCCATTTTAAAAAAGAAAAATAACAGCCTTATTAGACCGGAAGGAATAGCTCGGCAATCTCCTCGGCAAGTGCTCACCGTCCATGGTATACACTAAGGGTGAGTGTAACATCCCAAGTTCAGAAGCAAGAGTTCAGGGGTGTAATGTGTTATTAGGAGGGTGGACTCGGCGAGTAGGTGCGGTTACTCATCGAGTCAGAGCAGGATTTGGTCCCGAGTTAAGTGACCAACTCGCCGAGTCGGCAGCTGGACTCAATGAGTTGGTGCTGGAAAGAGAAAACCCTAAGATTTAGAGTTTGCACCCTATTTAAAGGATCCATTGTCCACCCCTCAGCCCCTTACTACCATTTTAAGATCCAGAAACCCTAAATCATGAGTGAGAGTCCTTGGAAGCAATTTGGAGCCTAGATAAGTGATTTTGTGAAGAGATCTTGAAGATCTAGAAGCTTGGATCAAGGAGATTTGTAGAGATTCGGATTATCCTTCAGTAGGAGGTCGTTTTGGAGGTAATGAATTGTTATCTTGGCATTCTCTTTTCTAGATCCATCTTTCATGGAGTTTTAGGGTTTGTTTGGGGATAATATGATGAGATTTTGGTGCATGAGTTAGATCTGGAGTTGAAACTCCAGATCTGAGTTCTATTTGGATCAAATATGCAGAAAGTCCTTTGAATTGCTATGCAAAATCCATCCCCCATGAGTTAAGTTCCTTTCTAACTTTTTTTTTGAATTTTGGGACATGAAAGCACATAAAGGTAGCAACTTTATGTTGCTAATGCTCTCTAGGGACCCAGATCTACTGTTTGGAGCAAAGGAGTAGCTCTGTATCTTTCGATTATGGGAATACCCGTATGAACTCGACGAGTCTGTAAGATTCCTCGGCGAGTCGAGTCGGGGTTTGGTTCTATTAAGTTCCAAGTGAGCTCAGCAAGTCTGGGAGATGATTCGGCGAATTGGTCTGGGGTTTCAGGCACTGAGTCGCGTAGTGACTCAGCGAGTCTGGAAGATGACTCATCGAGTCGAGTTGTTTATGGTGGGTATCAGAGTTAAGTGAACTCGGTGAGTCACTAGGTTGACTCGGTGAGTAGGGTCAACCAGGAAGTTTGACTTTGACCAAGAGTTGACTAGTTGACTTTCGAGTGTATGTTGGTAATTTTGGTTCTGATGGTTATGGTTTCCTTGGAGTAACAGGTGGTGGTGTTTGTGGCGGTGATCGGGAGCTTTGATTCTATCTCTCCAGCTCGGCAAGTGCAAAGTGAGTTATCCTCACTATACCAACATGGTCTAAGGCACCACGGCCGACCCTTTATCAGATAGGAATCCGGGTGTTTGTTTGATATGTTATTGAGTTGCTAGATCTGCATCTTGGTATTAGGATGGTATTATGTTAGTGACCTGGTTATGGTCGGTATCCTAGTATATAGAGCAATGTTATGTTAGTAACCTGGTTAAGGTCGGTATCCTGGTATATAGGGTAATGTTATGTTAGTGACCGGTTAGGTCGGTATCCTGGTTAGGATGTTGTTATGTTGTATGATCTGATTGAACCGTCTGTCAGGTTGAGGATTGTTATGTGATTAACTGTTTTATGTGCACATGGTTGTTTGACTGGGGATGGGTTGAGGCGGGTCCTGCTTTGTGCTGTAGGCCAACATACCCAGGGCATGCCGGATAGACCGTAGGCCCAGCGAGCGGTTCGGATAGGCTGAAGGCCCCAAGAGGGCGGTCCAGACGTGTCGAGGCTCGGAGAGTGGACCAGACCGACTGAAGGCCCGGTGTGGGCGGACCCGTCATACTGTAGACTCAGAGGGTGGACCAGGTGGATTGAAGGTCCGATGCGGGCAGTCCAATCACACTGTAGACTCGATATGCATGGTTGTTCTGTATTACGATATGTTATGAGTATGTTTATATGTGGTTGGTATTTTGGGGGTAACTCACTAAACTTTCGGGCTTACGGTTTCAGTGTTTTGTTTCAGGTACTTCAGAAGATCGTGGCAAGGCGAAGGCGTGATCGTACTGCTCCTCATTTTTACACTGATGTTTCTGGGATACTCTGATAATAAACAAACTGAAAACCTTTTTGTAATAATTAATGATTTGGGTTGTTTTTGAAAAGTTTAAATTTATTGAAATTTTATGGATGTTACAGTGAGTATTTGGACATATGGACCGCATCAAATGCGGATTAGACCAGACTGTTTTTTTGGACCCACGAACCAGTTCTTGGTTCTAGGATTTGAGCAAAACCAATTCAATTTTTTTACCGGTCGGTTCCGGGTAAAAACCGGTTTTTGACCGGCTTATTTTTTTTTTAAAAAAAATTGTATTTTGTGAAGTTCTTTAAACAAACATATCTCATTCATTTTAAGTCGGATTGATATATGATTTTCTCCAACGTTTAATTTAAAGTTTGTGATCATTTTAGACTATATATTCTATGAGTTACAATCGTTCAAAGATGATATATCAAAGCTAAAATATTTCAGCTTTTCAGTATGAAATTTCAATTTTTGTATTCTGTGAAATTTTTTAAACAAACATATCTTATTTGTTTTAAATCGAATTAACATACGGTTTTCTCGAACGTGTAATTTAGAGTTTGTAAATAAGTTTAAACTATAACTTTGTTGTTTTGGTGTTATATTCAATGAGTTACAATCTTTCAAGCAAATGATATAAACTATAAACAATCAAAGTTTGACCGATCCAAATGATACAAGAAACGAAAACATATTCATTTTTACGAGTTGTACCATATCAAACCTAAAAAATATTCATTTTAATGAGTTGTAACGTATAAAACCCATCAACATATTCATTTTAACAAACTGTATCAAACTCAAAATCATGTTTTAACAAGTTGTACCGTATGTATGTAAAGTTATATCAGTTCAAATGGATCCAAAAATTAGAAAACTCGAAACTAGACTTGGACCCTATAAGTATCATCCGGTCCGGTTCATGGTCTACAATATTCTTCAAAACCGGTCTGATCCAAGAGATATGGTTCACCCATAGTATACACCGTCCCCGCACAGTGGAATCCGAGGAGAAATAAGAGGGTAAAGCTATTTCTATTCCCCCCCCCCCCCCCCCCCTCAATTTTTACCAATTTGATCACCCTTAAAATGGTAAGCCACGTTGTGTGCGATGGAAAGGATGTTAAAATACACGCCATGTACCGCATCTCATTTACCGAATCTCTCAGTCTCTCAGATACCGACAAACCTCTCTCTCTCTCTCTCGCTTTGTTGTTTTCGTACTTCTGCAAAATCTCTCTGCTTTATCTGTCTATATCGATACGTTGGTACACATATATGTACACACATACAACTTTTGTCTGTAAAATCCAAACCCTAGATAACGATCTTTGAATGTTCGGATCGAAATCGACGATCAGCATTACTACTACACGGTTTGATTGAAGTTAATAGAAGAGAGATTTGGGCCTTTTTTTCTTCTTCGAGATCGGTTTCAGAGAAAGAAATGTATAAGAACCAGCTTCAAGAGCTGGCTCAGAGGAGCTGCTTTAACTTGCCGTCGTATACGTGTATCAGAGAAGGTCCAGATCACGCGCCGCGTTTCAAGGCCACTGTTAACTTCAACGGCGATACATATGAGTGCCGGAACTACTGCACGACGCTGAGACAGGCGGAGCATTCCGCCGCTGAGGTGGCTCTCAATTCGCTTGCTACCCATGGCCCCTCTAATTCTTTAGCTGCTAAAATACTGGTGAGTAGATTTTCCATTTTCCGTTTTCCGTTTTCCAATTCTACCGTTTGTTCTTCATACTTCACTTACAAATCACATATGATTATACATTTATACTCCAATTTCCATGGCATACAGGACGAAACAGGGGTGTACAAGAACCTTTTGCAAGAGGTGTCTCAAAGGGTAGGATCGTCATTACCAACATACACAACCACTAGATCGGGACTTGGGCATTTCCCTGTGTTCACCTGCACTGTAGATTTGGCCGGTTGCATATTTACAGGTGAAGCAGCTAAGAACAAGAAGCAAGCTGAAAAAAACGCAGCCATGTCTGCTTGGTTATCTCTAAAACTCTGTAAGTCTACATGATCTTTGTAGTTTGTATTAATATAACTGTTATTGCTTTTGATAATTGATAATTGATGTAATTGATATCATCATCTTCTCTGTTGTTTAGTGGCCCAACAATCAGAAACTTTTTCATTACAAAAAGGTAACATTGAGATTGAGGAGCAAGAACATGTCACGGTAGCTCGTGCTTTACAGAAGTTTAGGTTAAAGGCGAAAATGACTAATATACCCTTTCCAATTAAGTTTCCAACACCAAAACCAAAACTAGCTACTACACAATCACCTCAATCATCTACAACAACTTCAAAAATCCTTCCTTTAATATGCCCTAAAACTACCACAACTGGGCCCCACAAGTTCCCTACAGCTGAATCACCACCATATGTTCCTGTGGGCCACTTTATGGCTCATTGTAGGATCGCACCACCTGTCACTATACGTAACACAATTCCTGTTTTCTCTGCTCTGCCGCCACAAATGAGTGTAGCTCCGCCACCACCGCCGCCTAATCAGCTTTTTCCGGTGACTATCCGGCGAACTAAAGAAAAGGTGAATCTTGAAGATGTTGTGAAGCCATTAAAGGAAGAGGAGAGAAGTTGAATGATGATGTGCAAATTTGAAACAAGTTTGTATGTTTTTTGTGACAGAGTAATTAGGTGTGTAGGTAGCATTTGCAACTGAAATTAGAGATGTTTTTTTTTTAACTTTTATTTTGATTAATTAATTAACTTTATCGAAAAACAAATCTTTAAATCAAAAGCCAAAACCATATTATCATGATTATCTCATTACATTAAAATGATTCAAAACGAGTTATGGAATTAATCTCCAAGCTTTTTGCATAATTTCATCATTCACAAAAGGGCGTAACGACCACATCAAACAATATGTCTCTAGTTCTTCTGATGATGTCTTTAGATTAAGAGTAGAAACAATCTTTTCCTGTAAGCAAAACAATATTCTAATGTTTGTTACTTACAATCATAATGTACTTTAATTTATTTGTTCATTAAATATTGAAAGTGAAAATGTAGTAATAAACAAGTCAATAATTACCTGCATAAGGTAATCCTTTTTCACCATGCTATATACCAAAGCTACCATGGTTGCATAATCAATAACCTTAGATTTCTCAGGGACAAATGTCACTATTTGCTCCTGAAAATTAATAAATTTGTGTAGGGCAATTCTTTATAAAGATTAATCCACTTTTTTTTTAAAAAAATGGCATGAACTAACCTCATTGAATATATCATCCAAATCAGGAGTAAGATCTTGTGGTAAGGTTTCATTTGCAGATTCTATTACAAGATTTAAATCCTCAACAAGGGATTCAAGTTCTTTGATAATACTATTTCCTGTGGAAAAAAAACAAAAAAATTAATTCCATTTATAAAGACTAGAAGAAAAAAAAAATAGCGGTGGTTTTTTAGGTATTGAATGTTATACCTTTATTTGCAATATCCAACAATTGGATATGGTTTTTATGCACTTCTGTATGCATAATATCGCAAACAACAAAATAGTCATTGAAACATAATTCAGTAAATTTCAAAATCATTATAATCTTTAAAAAAATGACTTACACTTGTTGAGATTTTCAGCTCTATCAGAAGCGTGTGTGTATCCAGCTTTAATGTAAGATTGGAGTCTATCGGTATTGTTAGCTTTAATGACATTTTCAAAGAGTTGTGATGTGTTGTCAATGGAGGGTCTTCGAATGAAATCTGCATAAAATTATGTAACTTTAGATCAGAGAAACTTGAATTTTTTTTACTATTTTTAGGAAAAACAAAGAAATTGAAGAAATTCACCGAGTGATTGACGGAAGTTATCAAGAAATCTATTCCCTGTAACAACTTGCTCCTCATATTTGGCAACCCTACCATGAAGTGATGAAATAAACTTGTTAAATTACATAAAATTTCAATAAGAATGTACGCATGAATATTGAATGAAATCCCTATGCTAACCTTTCCATGAAATGTGAAAAAATCTGGACAACTTTCTCTGTTATTTCAGAGTTCAATCTGCTATCTTCGGTTGTTTCCATTCTGCGAAACTAATGGTCGAGTGTGAGATTGAGAACACCAAACAATAGGGGCTTAAAACTTAGAAAACTCCAATTAGGGCCCTAAAGCTCTGGTCATTAGAACACATCCAAATTGGACAATATATTTATCAAAATATCATAAAATCAGTGATTTGTTCAACAGGAAAAAGCAAATAGCAAACATAAATACATACTTGCCTACAGATTTGTTCAACAGAAACAGCGAACAATCAAACATACACACTAGGGTTCACTCAGAAGCGTAAAAAAGACTCAACCAATTCAGAAGAATTACCGGTAGGTCGAGAACGCAGAAGATTGACAGCCTCTGATATGATTCAAGCCGACAGCCTCCGGCCCTCCTCCCTCCAATGTCGATTCAGCCGACAAGCTCCAAGCTTAGAAGGCTTCAAGACGCTAGGCGATGTCTATATTGATTACTCGATTAGGTCGAGAAGACGAGAGCTCGATTGACGAGTGTCGAGGAGGAGAAGAATAGCTGCGAAGGTTTTATTTTCTGTATTATAAAAATAAATACCCATAGGATAAATAATTGTTATTTTTTGGTTTCTATCGGATGCATTTCTTTTTTGGGGTTTTGGTCCAAACCAAAATTTTTTTGAATTGGTGGTCCTTTTGAGCTAGTTTACATGTACTTTTAGTCTCTCTCCAAATTAAAAAGATTATTATACCCTTAATGAATTTTATTTTCATTTTCTTTCACTTTTTTAAAATTATTATTATTATTAAATATAAAACCGGGCCCACCTCTCTCTCTCTCTCTTCCTGATGATCCATCACCCAAAACACCCACTCTCATTGTAGAACCAGTGAAAAAGAAGGAAAGGACCGGTGATTCTTCGCCGGTAGTAGCAGCCCTAACACCCGCTGTTAAACAAGCCCGTAATTATTGTTGTACTGTTTCGATACCCCTTCACAGCCTTCTCAACGACTGTCATCTTGTTCGTCTCCTTCCCCTGTCAAAGAACTAGAATCAGCAGTGATGTTTTCCCGGTTCCCACTGTCGGCACCTCCATATCCCCTTCCCTTCCGCCTTTTGCCGAGAAACACCACCACAAGCACCCTCTCCGGCTGTTGCTGCCCTTCTCAACTCCCACAACCTCGATTGAAGGCTTGAACCGCCGGAAAAATCGACTCCTTATTCGTGCTTCATAGCGAATCAGGAAAAGAAGAAAGAAAGAAGATGTTGCTTGCGGTCCCTTTTCGTCTCCGATCATATGGGAATTGAAGACCCATTTCCTTTCATTTGACTGACAGACCAAACACAACCACAATATGTCTCGATTTTCACCCTTATTGCTTGATTGAACTCATCAGGACCACCGATAGTCGCTATTGGTTTGATTCTCGATAAATCCTATTTTCCTTCCTGTATTGCAGATGACACACACTCCAGAGTAGCAGAAACAGCGATTGCTTTCGCCACCATTAATGGTGAGAGGGGTTGTTTTTGTCCTGTAACACAAGCGATGAAGGAGGGGGTTCTTCACCTTCGTGGGTTAGTTAAACAATCGAAGGTGATGGCTGGAACAGGGTAACAATGGTTGTAAGGGGCTGAAGATGGTTGTGGCAATAAGGCTGCTCCGGTGCTCTTCTCTGCTACATTCCTTTTTTGTTGTCGGCTGTAGATGTGGGGTAGCGCTCGAAGTGATTGTAGGGTGTTTGGGGTGATTAATCAACAGGAAAGAAAATGAGGGAGGGAGGAAGCTGCAGAGGTGGTGGCAGTTTGTCTTATGGTAGCGATTTACAACGGAGTGGAGGAGGATGCGATCTCGCCGTCTGATGTGGTAAGGGAGGTTGCTCCGGCAACTCCCTCGTGGTTCTTCTTTCTGTTTCGGTGGCACACCCATAGAGGGAAGCAACAACATCAAAATGGGGTGTGTGTGTGTGAGTGTGAGAGAGAGAAAGAGAGAGAAAGAGAGAGAGAGAGAGAGAGAGATAAGTGGGTCCAAATTAGTTATTTATTTATTTATTTTCTTTAAATTAAATAGAAAAAATATCAAAAATATATCAGAAAGGGCATTTTAGTCTTTTCAGTTTTTCGATGGACCAAAATTACAAGCAAACTTGCTCAAATGGACCACCAATCCAAAAAACTATGGGTTTGGTCCAAAACCCCAAAAAAATGCATACCACAGTGACCATTTTTGCAATTTTGTCTATAAATAAACATCTTCCTCTCTCTAAATAAAAGTTTTTTTTATGTCAAATTCTCAAAAGTTTTACATCTTCTAATTTTATATCATCTAATTTTATATGAGACTTTTATAATTATTATTTTTTAATTGTTATTTTTTGGGAATTTTCATATTATTCTATTAATTTGATAATAAGGTTTTATAAAGAATATTTGATTTTTTTTATAAATGTTCTAAAATATGACATTATGTTATGTTAAAATATTATTTTATAAAATATTTAATGTTTAAATATTGATATTAAATTTTATTTTTAATAAACTCGTGTAGTGCACGGGTCTCACACCTATATTTTTAATAAATGCATGTTTTTTTGTCAGATGTCAATCTCTAATAAGTTTTGACAGTTGTCATTTTGTAATATTTTTTAAATAAATAATATCCACGTGTAAATTTATGTTTTTTTTTCAAATTTTAAAATTAAAAAGCCACATAAACTTATACTTATATATGTAAAGTATCAAATATAATAAATATTATAATAAATTGCAGTTAATATGTTTTTTCACTCCTTATTTTAAAATTTTATTTTAAAAATACTTATTATTTACATTTTAATATTTTATTTTTTTAATTAACCCGTGTAATATAATAGTTTTACACCTAGCCCTCCGTAATAAATAACTGATTTTTTTTGTTACTTGTAACATTCTCATTTAATTTGTCAAATGTTATTTTATGGTTATTTTGAATTAATTTTTTTTCCACATGTGATTTTATGAGTTTTCTTATTTTAATAAATTTCATAAAATACTTTAATTTAATAATTATAATAAATGTAGTAATAAATAAATATCAATTTTATTAATGAAATTACCTTTTTATTTTAAAATTCCCAAATTAAAGTTTATTAGTTTATTTTATTTATTTATTTAAATTTAAAAGATAAATAAAATCAACTTTAATAATTTATTATTTTTCTTATTTTCTTATAAATTCAAAGTTTTTAAATATTTAGACATTTATATTTATTTTTTTAATTAACTCATATAATACATAGGTCTTACACATAGTTAAATAATATATACAATATGTGAGTTTCGTGGTTTTGTTGGTTGGTTTCTGTAATTTATTTTTATTTCGTTTTATTATCTTACTGTTTATTGTATATTTAATTATTTTAGTTTGATTGTAGTATAACTTTTATACTGTAATCTTATTGGATTTGGATGCTCTCTACCTTAGAAAAAAAAACATTATCACATTTTCTCGTTCATATATGTCTATACAACGTGGACCATTAAGAGAATAATAGTGATTTCGTTGGTTGGTTTATGTAATTTATTTTTATTTCATTTTATTATCTTACTGTTTATTGTATATTTAATTATTTTAGTTTGATTGTATTATAATTTTTATATTGTAATCTTATTGGATTTGGATGCTCTCTCCCTTAGAAAAAAACATTATCACATTTTCTCTTTCATATATGTCTATACAATGTGGACCACTAAGAGAATATTATCTTCATAGTTATTTTATTGCAAGCTTACAAGATGGAGAATATTATCATATTAATTTTTAAAACGATCTTATAGTAACATTACATTTATTTTCTTTGTTTCATCAAAATAATCTTGTTCAAATAGAATATTATCTTACTATATTTTTGTTGTAATCTTATACCCAGGTTATCAAGACTTAATGAGAATATTATATTTTGTTTTTAATTTATTGTGCTATTATTGATAATTCTTCGACAGATCTAGTTAATTATAACTAGATAAAAATACTATTTTACTATACGACTATCCGGTATCCTTAAAACATATGTATACACGTGAAAACAATTTCATATCATCAAATGCTCTTTCACAACAAACTCACTATACATTTGGGGATGGTGTTCACTAGTGAAGAACTAGTGAACAACAAATGAAGAAGAGAGAAAGAGAGGGAAAGAAACGGAAGAGAGATATACATAAAGGTTTTGGTGATCTTAAGTGGTAGTCCCACCATGCTTTGAGGTGGTTTTCACTTATGAAAATCTCTTTCACATAGGATCCGCATAGGATACCTACAAATAATGAAACCTCCATACGGTATGGCCTGATCTTAGTATCTTCTTTATGTATTTTTACTATAAAGTTATTGCATTTTCTCAATGTGATCAAATAATATAAATCTTAGTATCTTCTTTATGTATTTTTACTATAAAGTTATTGCATTTTCTCAATGTGATCAAATAATATAAGATAAGATAGAGAGTATTATTTTCCTATAATATCACTCTATCTGAGAAATGTTATTATATTTTCTCTTTGATCTTATAATAGAATATTATCTTCATATTCTTTATTTTTATTTTTTTTGCAAAACTTGCATTTTCCTAAAATCCAAAAACTCATTTTATTTTCCAAAAATGCCACTAAAAAGTCTTTTTGTTTTTATAATTAGCCCAAAATATAAATACTTTTCTAGAGACTCTTCGATTTCAATTTATTTTGTATTTAAGTATATAAAATAATGAATTTATCGTAAATAAGCAATAATAATCATACTTATGAAAAATTTTCCCATATAAATAATAAAAAAAAAACACAAGTTTTAGAACTGTACGATTGACCAACTTTTTTTTTTAAATAACAAATGTACTAAACTACTCCTAAATTATATCATTTATGTTTATAGCAGAACCTGAACGCTCAACTTTAAGGAGGAAGACAAGAAGCCCTTTGATTGACCAAATTGTCCTTAACATAATCTATTTTTATATAGACTTCTTGTAACAAAAAACATAATTCAAAAATCATTAGCCTTATTTTCTATTTTGTTACCTCCAAAGAAGATTAAAGCAAACTATTTTCTTTTTTATTTCTTGCAAACTCGTGAACACAAATTCTTCTATCTTTTTTTTCCGAACGACAAGCTGGCATATAAATAAAAACTAGCCAGAGGCTAGAAGGTACAAAGTTTAGCAAGGAAAAAAAATAGGAAAATACAAGAAAAGGAAACAGAAAACGCAACTAAATAGCAGGAGCTAACTACATATTAGCATAACATTCCCGAATAGGATCGCAACACCAATCAAGCCACCTAAGGGATACACCCTTTCTATTTCTCGCATTAATCCAGAACGCGGACATAGATTGTACCTCATAAGCCAGCACCGAGAGAGATTTAGCACCTGAGGAGTGAGCCATCAAGTTCCGGAAGTTCCAAATTACCCATAGGAATACTAACATGATACCTTCGTGAATGATTTCCAGCCTCTTGTGACCTTTCAGTACGCTCTTGCAGTTAAGGAGATCTTTAATCGCTTGGACATTTGGATCCATCAATCGCCACCATCCAGCTATTCTTTGCCAAAGGTCCTTTGCTGTCCCACATTCTATAAACAAATGATTTTCAGTTTCTGGAGCCACACCACAGATTTTGCAAAGGTTGGATTGCGTGATGCCAATTTTTGATAAATTGACCATTGTTGGGAGTCTCCCATGACTAATTCTCCATGCTAAGGATGTTCAATTTCCCAGGGATTAATGGGTTCCACTGCCACTTCTCATCAGAACAAGGTAGGATGGTTGAGTCAATATAGTTCCTCAAAGATGAAACTGAATATGTCCCAGATGGATCCAATTCCCAGCTCCACTTCAATGCTCCTGGAATGTTATCATTGTGAACCAGTTGGAAGTGACTTACAAATGAGATATCATCCTTTTCGAGCGTTTTAGGGAGGCTAGCAATTACTCCCCAGCACCCACTTTTCCTTCGGGCTACCGAGGGCCGGTTGAACCCACCTTCCGCTCCAAAAATTGACTTTATTACTGCAGCCCATATGTTGTTCGGGTTTGATTTGAACCGCCACCACCACTTTCCCAGCAATGCAATGTTTTGAGCTTTCAGGCTGCTAATACCTAGTCCGCCCTTTTCTTTAAAAGCACAGGTTTTGTCCCATGCAACCCACGAAATCTTTCTTTTATCCAAACCACCCCCCCCCCCCCCAAAAGAACCTCATTCTGATCTTCTCAAGCAATTTAATCACTTTAATTGGAGCTTTAAACATAGAGAAATAGAAAGATCCCAGGCTGCCCAAGACCGCCTTAGATAGTGTTAAGCGACTCCCAAATGACAGAGTCGAAGCTTTCCAATTTGACAGCTTCGATTGGAATTTCGCTATCAGTGGGTTCCAGTGAACAGCTCTAGCCATGGATGCACCAATTGGGAGGCCAAGGTATATAATCGGTATGGAGCCTATGGAGCAATTTAGGCATCGGGCCACAACTCCAGTTCACATCCTTGAACACCAAAGCCATATAATTTACTTTTCGACATATTAATTTTGAGGCCGGAAGCCAATTCAAAGCAACGAAGAATGCGGATCAGGTTTTTTGCGTTTTCTGTCGACCAAGAACCTAGGAAGATAACATCATCTGCATACTGGAGGTGAGAAAGGCTTGGGCCCTGATTTGGCAGTTCTATCCCTTCAAAGATTCCACTTTCTTTACCCTCTTCCATGGCAATATGCAGTCCCTCCGCTGCAATGATAAACAGGAAAGGCGACAAAGGATCGCCTTGCCTAATTCCACGCTCCATAGAAAACTCTGTGGTGGCAGCTCCATTTATTAGAACTGAAATCCTAGCTGAAGTGAGGCACCCGAGAATCCATGATCGCCATTTGGAACCAAAGTTCATTTGTTCGAGAATCGAATCAAGGAATCCCCAGCTAAGGCTGTCGAAGGCCTTTTCAAAGTCGACCTTAAAGGCAAACGCCTTCTTTTTACACTTTTTTAGCCAAGAGATCGTTTCGTTTAGAATGAGGGGGCCGTCGAGGATACATTGATCTTTGATGAAGGTCGTCTGGTTTGGACTCACAACTAGGTGAACAACCTTTTTTAGCCTTTCTGCTAGAACCTTTGCTATAGTTTTATACAAACAGCCAATTAAACTGATGGGCCGGAAATCACCAATGGTATTAGGATCCTGAATTTTGGGAAACAGGGTAATAAAAGAGGAATTGCATTCCTTATCAATGCTGCCTGATGCTTCGAAATATTTAACAGCGAAATAGAAATCGTTGCCAATAATGTCCCAATGTTTCTTAAGAAATGCAAACGAGAAGCCGTCTGGGCCGGGGGTCTTATCTGATCCACATGCCCATATAGCCGATTTTATTTCGTCCAAGGAGAAAGGTTGTTCAAGGGACGAAGCCAAGTGTGGAGTTATTTTTTAAACTTAGCACTGAAAAAATTTGGTCTCGACCTTATAGGCTCCGAGTACCTCTCCCGGAAATAATTGACTACTTCTTGTTTTATCATTGATGGATCGGTGATCCAAAAGCCGTTTACTTTGAGGCCATTTATTCTTTTTACCCTGTGATGTTTGTTTATAATTCCATGGAAGAACCCACTGTTTTCATCCCCATCCAACGCCCATTTTATTCTAGATTTTTGTTTTAGATCCGCCGCTCTTGAGGATTCAAGCGTCATGATTTTTTGGTGGGCATTCTGTCTTTGTTGCAGCAGCACATTGTCAATTGGATACCGCTCTGCATGGAGATCAATGGTATTGATAAAATTAGATAGTTCAGAAACCTCCTTTCTTCGCATCTCCAATAATTCCGTTCTCCACCTCTTGATGTGCTCCTTCATGTTTTTAAGCTTTCCTGCAGTGATGGATAAGGGGGAGATATGGAGTCGACTTCCGGGATCAGATCGGGTAACCCAACCCTGTTTCACTATATTTTCAAACCCATCATCAGCCATCCAAGAATTGAAGAAGCGGAAAGGGTAGGGATCGAAATCTAAGCAGCCCGAAGACAAGGTACTGGCACAGTGATCCGAGTGGGCAGTGTTGTGATATTTAGGAGTGGCCACGTATCAAGGACATTTGCAGTTACAAGGTATCTATCCAGCTTGATGTGTTACCAGCTCGGTTCGCATATGTAAAGCGGCGCCCACCCATTTTGATTTCAATTAGCCCTGCCAGATGGATGAATTTATTAAAATGATACGCGCTGTTGGGGCAAAAGTTGGAGCCGAGCCTTTCTTCAAGGAGTCTCACGACGTTAAAATCTCCAAAAACAAACCAATAACAATCTGAATCAGAGCTCACGAGACTTTGTAGATTGTTCCAATCTGAATCAATTAAGGGTGACGGTTTCTTAGCTGTAAAAGGTGTTTGGCTCCGACTAAGAAAGAGATGTTGCTTTGTAAATGTATATGCTCCCCAGGAACCGGTGAGGAAGAAGATACTATGGAACAATCTACAAAGTCTCGTGATTCAGACCGTGAGGATGACTATGCCGTTCAATCGGAGGAGGACCTGAATTCGCCGATATCGTCCCCGGCATATTCTCACCGGAGTCTGGACGGGGAATGTGAAAAGTTGCAATCATGTGAGACGATCCCAGTTCCCGAGGAGCAGTATAAGATCGAGAATCTTAACGGTCGCCAGAAGGGTGTCGATTCGTCGCGTGTAAGTCAAAATGGAAGTCCGTCCCCTTGCTCCAACATGAGATTGGACTCGGATTGGGTTATCTCCGCCAGTGGTCATTGCAGGCCCACCAAGCTATTGGACCTTAATAATGAGCCCTGCAATTCTAATTCCATCTTGGCCCAAAATCTTAAATCCTCTCCTATAGAGTTATCCCCAACCTCATCGTCAACGCCAATCAACCCGGTTGGAAGTCACTCCCAGGATAATCTCCAAGAACCACTGATGCCCCATAATAATACAGGTATTCCATCCCATCCGATTCAAGAGAAATCTGACTCTACATCTATGGAGGTGCTAAAGACGATTGAAGTGGGGGAGAGAGTAGGTTTCAGAGTTAAAGACTGTGCAGACCATCTCAAACCCCTGATCAAAAAACGTGGAGTGGTGATCCTGGATCAATGAATATCTTCTCCAACAACATATGCGGAATTGGGTGTGAAGTCAAAAGAAACTTGGTCGGACATCCGACAAATTCTTCTATCTCATACTCTCTTTTTTCTCTCCAAAATGCATGTAAAGAATCCAATCCCACGTTTGCTTACTTTTCACCCATCATATTCATACACCAAAAAATAATTATAATAAACTCCAATTAATCATAACTCATCGTCAAATTCTATATATACAAGTATTTCCACCAAAAAAAATCATAATAAACTCCTTATCATGCAAAGTGCCACAATTTGGGAAAACCAAAAACCATAATACAAGTATTATCTCGATGCTAGAGACCAAAAATTAAAGAAAAATGAAGGGAAAACCAAAAACCAGCTAACAAAAGCCATTGCAGTTGAAGTTTCAAACCTTGTGCAATGGTTTTCTGCACAATTGTTGAAGTCGCTACTGATAAGAACAGTTATTCCTGCAGATGCACAAGCTGCTGCAAAAGTAAGCGTAGATGTAATCTGCATTTTCAAACAAAACAAAACCAAAATCAAGATTTTTGAGCTAAAGTTCCACATTATACTAATTAAACTATCTTTACCCCATCTCCGATAGTGAAGAAACCAAGAACTCTTGAATTTCTTAAACAACGCTTCACTAAAAGAGCATAAACATCAACAATGGCAAGCGACAGACTCCACAGGCATTGCAAGCTTAGAGCTGCAACAAGGTACCTAGATGAAAAAAATAACCCAATTCGTCATGAAATCGGCATGTTACACACTACAGTGATATGAAAAGTAGAGGTTAAGAATAGGATTTTGTCTTTATAACAGTTACCGGAAAGCGGTGACGGAAGGGAAGTCACTGGTAGCGGCCATGACGGCAACTGAAACGGCGGCGAAAGCGAACTGAAGTAGACGCAAGGCGAGGCCGACGGGTGTTCCGGGCATCCCTTGAACGTCCTTCATTATCACAGTATCTTCATGTGGATCCCCATTATTAACAGCGGCTTCTTCTCTCAATTGAGGAACTTCAACATCAAACGGATGCACCAACGGTCGGCTTCTACTGCTCATGATTCTACCAGTCCTTTTCACTTCAGGAATTCATCATCATCGATCCATTAAACCCAGACGAATTAGAAACCCACAGAAATTGACAATCGGATACTCAAAATCGGTTCAAAGTTTCAGCTGTATGTATGAATTGGAGACGCCCACTTCGAATACCCACAACAAATTGACGATAGATGACTTGAATAAGAAATTTTGATCTCAGATATAGTAGATAGGGTTTTTAAGCTGCTGATTAAGAAAGCGTATAGAGAAGGGGTATTGGTATAATGGTATGTATGGTATGGAATTTTGGAGGAGGTGAATTGGGAAAGTAGCGGGGGTGTAGTAGCTGGCGACCGTTAAGTTGTCGCCGGCAATTACTACAAAATTAGTCGTGTTAGAATTGGCCAACGGCGTCGTGCATACGAACCGGAGTATTTTTCTGTAGCTCTAAGTTTGTCCTCGCATGTTACATATCGTATAAATGCTAAAATCAAATGCTTTTGTAATTTTTTCAATATATAATATAATAATAAACAAAGCAAAATTTTCTTTAAAAATAGATATTTTGTCTTGATCATAACAAACTTTTATATGTAGTAATCTTTTTATAAATTTTGTTCCTTATTCGTAATGTAAAAATTAAATGATTCGTATTTTATAAATTATGATTTTGGTCTCTTACTATAATTTGAAGTTACAATTTTGGTCATTTATATATTTTGTAATTTCAATTTTTTTAAACGGCAATCTAATTGACATCTAACTAGGGATGAGCATTAAATCCATCGGAACCGGAACAGGAATCGGTAATAAGGTCCGGATACCGATTCTTCATTTTTATGAAAATCGGTTCCGGTTCTAAAATTCGGAATATGTAACATTTTGTCCGTTTTTTAAATGCGCATAACTCACTTATATGAAACTTGAATTACTTGATTTTTTTTCAACATATAATCTGAAGATTGTAATTCATTTTGACTATACAAACATATATTTTGGTTAGATATTGAATCAGATATATGCCCCGAAAAAAAGAATATCGATTATGCACTTTTTCTATTTCAGCATTTTTTGTTTGTTTGAATCTGTCCCGTTTTTTTATATGTAGATAACTTATTTATATGATATCATAATTACTTATTTTTTTTCCATCATGTAATGTGGTGTTTGAATCAGCAATAGACCTCGGAAGATAGCATATCAATGTTGTGTATTTTCTGTTTCATCATTTTGTTTTTATTTTTTTTAATCTGTCCCGCTTTTAAAATGCGCATAGCTCACTCATATGAAGTTGGAATTACTTGATTATTTTTTCATCATGTAATTTAGTGTTTGTACTTCAATTTAGAATGTAAAAAGTCATAATTTGGTTAAATATTGAACCATTTACAAGCTCCGGAAGTTAACATATCACCTACAACATTTCAACCGGTTCTAGTTTGAAAAATAACAGAAAACCCGGGATCGGAACCGAAATTGGAGTTAGAACCAGCGGTTCAGTTCCCGGTTCTTATAATATAAGAAAACCAGTTCCGGTTCTAAAGTTCATCCTTACTTCTAACTACCACTTATGCCCAGCGTACGCTGTTGATGATCTGGAAACGGGGAACTGACCCAGTACACGCAGTGTACTTTAGAGTGCGCCCGACGTACTGGCCAATCAGCCCAAACTTGCACCCATGTCTTAATACATTAAGCTCTAACATCTAAAACTTAGATCCAAGCTCATAATAGTGTCTTAAGCCATAAAGTTGCAAACTTTATGCACTTGCATACCTTAAAGGACGCAAACCATGAATTAAGCGCTCTAACTCTCTCTGATCGTCACTAACACATGCATGATTGAATCTCAACCTCCAAGATATGATTTTTATGACTCCATGCACTCCTAAGAGTCCAAAAGGACATCTCAAATGGCTTAGAGTAGCCCATACTCCAAAAGAGCAAGTTATGGGACCGAAAGATGCTAAATGTGACATCCCCATTTTTACGGCCAGAAAAGACCGATTTTGTTTATGCTTTATAAAAATCAGAGTACTTCATTTTATAAAAATGTTGCGGAATTTGTTCCCAGAAAAACATGGTAAATACGTTATTAAAACATTTTCGAAGAAACGTATTTATTTCATTTTAAAACGTTTGGGACGTCATCGTTAATACAGAAACATAAGCATAAACAGAACTTACAATTATTTACACTAGTGATCTACATCTCTTTAAATCTCTCAGTGTAATGTCACTTCATATCAACACCTGTGATAGAAATAAACTGAGTGGGTCAGGTTGGGAAACCTGGTGAGTACATAGGGTTTTCAACCCACAATAATATAATTATTATGTTTAAATAATCAAACCATCAACCCAATTACCCATCCTCATTATCTTCTTTATTCTTAAGGATCTACCCTAAGAATCAGCTATTTCTCATTCATTCATTCCTAAGGATCATCCTAAGGAAACAACATGAAGTCCATTGTTGCCAATGACACATTGGTCAAGCGCAGCTGCTAATATTGTCACTTAGGCTCAGCTGCCAGAATTAGGATATTTTCTATGAGACGCTTCTGTCGGTATTGACCTTTAAACACTACTGTCATGGTCATAAGGCTCCCTATTAGGCGCAGCTGCCGATACTATCCTTAAAGCGCAGCTGCTAGGATGTTTACCGTAGATCTAAATCATCTACGGGTTGTGACGCAGCTGCCAGTGCTCATCTATAGGGTACTAGGTCCACTGCTGCCAATGTATACCTATAGGGCACTAGGTCTGTACTAGTAATGTTCCTCTATTTCAGCTTTTATCCATCATCATTCATCTACCCATGTTTTACCCAACATATTTTGTAGATATAAAATACTTTATACAGTTTACATCATTTAAAACATGTATAAAAATCTTTCACCAACATAGACAACAAGTATTCAGACAATATGCACACATAACACGTAATTTATATTAAAATACTTCATATCTATGTGTAAGATGAAAGAGACCATGCACTCACAACACGTAAATTATATAATAAATACTTCATATCTATGTGTAAGATGAAAGGGACCATGCACTCACCTGAGAAGGTGGTGACTCGGTACTCGGACAACGTTTCGTTTACTTTAAAATAATTTCCTTCGACGAAACCTAGTATTATCACCAATAGATTTTAGTCTATTATTCGCCGAGACTAATTAATAGTCTAGCTATTATTACTATTATATATGCGTTAAAATAAATACTTATATAACCCATAATTATAGCCCAAGTATTTATTATATGTTCTTAATAACGTTAATATAATTAAATAAAAACCATATTAAAAATAGCGTAGGCGTAGCTCACTTACAGCGGGTTTTATAGAAAATCAGACTTTGCTTGGAGCAGCGTTTCCGAGCCGAAAAGCTCTTCTTCTTGGAGCCGTCGAGCACTCCGGGGCTTCCGCCTCGTGCTAGGGAGGTTCCCTAGGCTTTTCGGGGGATTTCGGGGCTAGAGAGAGGTTCTAAAGAGAGAGAGTAAAGAGAAGAAAGAATGGGAAAGGTGTGAAGAAAATGAGGGTGGGAGAGGTGGTATTTATAGGGTGAAAATGGCTGAACTTGGTGCCACATGTCACCATCTAGTGGCAAGACTTGGGGAGAAAGCAATGGCCAAGATTGTGCCACAACACCCATTTTCGCACAGCACACTTCCGACTTCTAAAATCCGTAACTTTCACATACGACCTCCGTTTTTGATGTTCTTTATATCCACACGTAGGTAAAAATAATATCTACAACTTTCATTTTGACTCCGTCGGTTATTCTCGACCGATCTTAAATTTAACAGTACGAGGCGTTTAGACTGTTAAATGACCGCGAAGAATTCGTAACTCCTTCATACCGACTCCGTTTTCGTCTGTCTTTTTACCGTTGAGTTCCTATTAATGAGATCTTGAACTCTCATTTAGGTCACGTAATCCAAAAACCG